GAGCTTTCATTCTCCTCCAAAAGTGATAATGTGGTTAAAGCTTTAGGCATTACATGGAATTCTCAGAAGGATGAATTCAGCTTTAAAGTCTCAATCAAGGAGAAATCATCATATACCAAAAGAGACATTTTATCCAACAATTGCCAGACTTTATGATCCTTTAGGACTGATTGGTCCGGTAATCACCAAAGCCAAGATATTTTTACAGAAATTATGGGTTCAAAAACTGAGTTGGGATGAACCACTTTTTTCGCAACTATTGCTCACGAATGGCAACAGATAGTTTCAAATTTAAAGACTGTTGAGAAACATAAAAATTAATCGTTGCATCCTCTCCAATCATCCAAGCAAGATTTCACTCATTGGATATGCAGATGCTTCGGAAGCCGCTTATGGTGCAGTTGTCTACTTGATTTGTGTCGATGAAGATCACGGCTCGTCATCTCATCTATAGCCAGCAAATCTCGTGTGGCTCCATTGAAAACTTTATCTATTCCAAGATTGGAACTTTGTGCATGTTTGTTATTGGCTCATCTGATTTCGAAAGTTAGCAACTCACTGAAGATGCATTTAGATGACATCATTCTGTGCACTGATTCAACGATAGCACTGTCATGGTTGAAGACTTCTCCTCATCTTTTTGAAGACCTTTGTAGCAAATAGAGTCTCCAAAATCCAAAGACTAGTAGAACCGCGACACTGGAAGCAAGTATCATCAGCAAATAATCTGGCAGATCTGATTTCTCGTGGTGCTTATCCTCATGAACTTGTGACATCTTCCTTGTCGTGGAATGGTCCTGAACGGAACAATCAAAAGTCAGGTTAAAACTTTAAATCCATTTTTAGATGGAAAAGATATACAGTCAAAAGTCGTTAATCCGGACTCGTCGGGACTTCGGCGATTCCGGATTATCGATTTTTCCGGATTACAGATCATCAGTTTAAATCGCGTAAGATGGCATGCAGAAATTCTAAAATTAAAAATATGAAACCGTAATTTATGAAATAAAGAACAATTATGATCTAAAGGGTATCAAAATTTACAAAAAAAGCTTAATATTTATTTGTTTACTTTATTAAACATTTCTTTCAATGTAAGTTGTTTAAGTTGCTTCGTTTTATGTGATAATACTTTCTCTTTAATTCTATAAACAGACATAATTTTTTGTTCAGTTACAAAGTTCCGCTGTTCAAGTCCCGTTAATTGCTGTGCCGAGAATACCGACTAACTTGTCAATCGAAATTTTTTCGTTTTCACTAACCTCTCTGTCACATTCTTCATGTCTTTATCCATTTTTGCAGCAATTCCACTTTTTGTTGATGGACATCGAAACATACTTTCGTTTTGTACGATCCTTTGGGAGCTCCAGATTCGGAAATTCTATTTACATAATCGAAAGTTCAAGTTTACTTTTATAGTATTGCTCTTACAGTCTGCAAAAAATAATAAGCCGGATCCAATTCGAAAATTAAGGAACAACGCAATCATCAACATTAAATGAAATAGATAATTTTAGCTTATACCGTTCGTTATACATAAAAAGCGCACGCGAAAACGTATTCTGCGCTTGCGCACACGCAAATGCGCAGTCGTAAGAGGTCTTACGCGCACGCGTAAACGCCTATCCGCATGTGTCAACGCGGCGCATGCGCAGAAAGTTTTTAGCTTTGAGGTCCGGATTATAGATCATTCCGGATTATGGGTGTTCGAATTAACGACTTTTGACTGTATTACGTGTGGGCGGTTGCTTAACTCATGCCACAATTAATTATGATTCTAAACATCAAATTTTGTTGCCAAAAAATCATAAGCTTACCAAGCTAATATTTATTCATTATCATTTGAAAAATTTTTAATGCTGGTCCTCAAGCATTATTACATTTTGTTAGGGAAAGGTTTTGGCCAATTGGTGGCAAGGACTTAGCCAGAAAAACAGTTCATGAATGCTTAATTTGTTTTCGTCATAAACCTATCATTTCAGATCAATTAATGGCCGATTTACCTCCTGAACGTGTAAATCCAAATCTAACCTTTCACAGGGATAATTTTGCAGGTTAAATTAACATAACACAGGGATAGATTTTCACAGCAGGCCCTTTTTTTAATCAAATATAGAAATCAAAGGAAAACGTAGTTTACATAAAGTTTATATAGCAATCTTTGTTTGCTTAGTTACAAAAGCAATAGAGTCATTTAGAAAATAGTATTTGACTTAACATCTGAAGCCTTTATTGCATGTTTAAAACGATTTTTTTTTTCGCGTAGAGGTAAAAGCTCAATGTCTGTTTAGTGACAATGCAACTAATTTTGTAGGAGCTCACAAAGAGTTAAAGAAACTTGCTTCTTTAAGTTACTGTCCCTGATGAAGTTTTGGGTAAGTATTTGGCATCTGAAAATATCTCTTGGAAATTTATTCCTCCTCGTGCCCCAATTTTAGGGTGGAATTTGGGAGGCCGGAATCAAGTCTTTTCAAATTTCATCTTAAAAGAACTATTTCCGATGCTAAAACTAACCTATGAAGAATTTTTAACCATAATTGATCAAATTGAAGGAATACTAAATTCGAGACCTCTTTCTCTTTCTCCTTTATCGTCTGAACCTTCAGATTACGAACCCTTGACGCCAGATCACTTTTTAATAGGTAGACCCATAAACTCAATTGTAGAACCTCAAATTTTAGACTTGTCAGAAAGCAGATTGTCAAGATGGCAAAAATTAACTAAAATGGTACAGATTATATGGAAATGCTGGATATAAATATCTTAATCACTTGCAACAACGAAAGAAATGGTATTTTTCAAAGGACAACATAAAGAAAAATACAATGGTTATTATTAAAGATGATCAGTTACCTCCATTTAAATGGTTACTAGGAAGAATTGATCAGACAATTCCTGGTAAAGATGGTAAGATACGAGTAGTAGTCATTAACACAAAGTTTGGTCCAATTAAAAGGCCAATATCAAAAATTTGTTTATTGCCTATTGAGGATAACTTCAAGGATTAAGTTTCATTGTTAATAAAATATACATTGTTCTTTATTATACTTATATTTTGGTAATTTTGATGAAAAAATGTGAATTTTTTACTGTTTGAAATGTTGATATACTTACAATAAGTATTGAAAAAAAAAAAAAAAAAAAAAAAAAAAAAAAAAACAAATGTTCAAACTTTATGGAATTTTCTGAATTGTTTATTTCATTCTGTAAATGATCTATTAACTTTAAGTCTTTTGTTAATGCTTAAAAAAACTGAATAGCTGAATTGTTAGCATTTGATATTGAATTGTATGCTTAGATTTAGTTTGCATATCATAGATATTGCAGCAACGTGGGGCGGTATGTTGCCTCCTACGCGGCAATATAAGTTATGTACAGCGCATTGTTTCTGCGCAATTTTAGTTAGTTAAGATTCGAACTCCTAGCGTAGCATACATGTTTTTGATCCAGTATGGTCGGGAATTTATCATTTTCGATTTAGATTTTTAGTTATGATACAGTCCATGAAATAAAATTGTTGTTGTTGTTGTAAAAGTTGTCTTTAATATAGAGTCTAACCAGCGACCTCAAAACAAGGTGAGGTGGAGGAACAAGGTGGTGTAAAGGTGAGTGTAAAAACAAGGTGAGTGTAAAGGTGAGGATAAATTAGTAATTTATTAATAAAACGCCTTCTTGGCGGTACTTACAACAATTTTTTTTCCATCCCTTCATTAAGTTTGCCACAAAATTTCAGTTTCCTGATGAACGGTTTTTCTATGTTTTGAAACAAGTTTTGCCTATGCTGGTGTTTGCTTTGAAACAGGGTTCTTAAATTCTGGACAGACACCCTGTATAGTACATATTGGTAGCATGCAGCATCCATGGATAGTTTCAAGTATTTTTTAAGAATCTAATCTGCTTCACTTAAGTAATCATAAGGCTGCCACTTGTCTTGAATTAAACCAACTTCACTAGATGAACTAATGATCTTACATTATCGATGCCATACTGCTATCCTCTCATCAGCCCAGTGGGGGAAAAAATGAATTCCTATTATCCAACACTGATGTATCAGATGCATTTCATTTCTCATCACTGATGGGTATATGAATCCCATTTTGCCAACTGGCTTATGATAAGATAATGATGTGGCATCGATGATCATTCTGCAAAGTTCAATTCAAGGCAGTTCTGTGGTAGTTCAGAAGTGATCTAGTGAAACACACAACTCAACACAGACAAACGAACAATACAGGTCGAATTTCAACAATAGATGCTATTTTTTCATGTGTACCATAAAAATATGACCCAGTTTCTGTTAGAAAACTCTCCAAGAAGGTAAACAGCTATAGAGTGCGCTTTGCCATAATAAAATTATCCAATCCAATCGAATATCAAGCAAGGCGCAGTGTATGATGACAAATGTGTAACTACATTGTTTTGTCATCTACTAGCTATTTGGCTCTGGCATTCAGCATAAACATGATCTATTCCATGGTGCCCTTTGACCACTGTGGCAGCACGTACGAGTCAGATCACTGACATGTATTTGAGCTCCAGTATTCAGCATGGATGCCATTTGTATTACTGATCTTCCAACAACTTGCCAGAATGCATTACCTGGATAATCTATAAAACCAGCCATCAGTGATATGCATTTGGCCGGCTCCCATGCGTTTGATGAGTGCTGCTATAAGCAACCATAATATGTTCATTCTAGATGTTTCTGAAAATTAAAGTAATTGCCAATTCAGAGCTAGAATCATCTATCTGTGCTGCACTGACAACTACTCTATTTAAGTTACTAAAGTTGCTATATTTATATAGTTTAATCAATTACAGTACACTTAGAAAGCATCAACATTTGTGTATCTACTTTTGATCAATCACTGCAATCTGCTTGGAAGAGTTAACTCTTTTCCTCTTGGTGCTGTTTTAAATATTTTAATTATTCATACTGTATGTTAATCAAATTGTACTTTGTTATGTACGGAAGCTTAAGAAGTGAGAAATCACAATTATTGAAAGTTTTGCTGTGCTTTTATTAGAACTACCAGAAATAACCTGTTACACAAAGATCATGAAAAGACATGTAGTCGAGTGATATTAAATATTAATAATACAAACATGAAAAATCTTGAAACTAATATGCCTCAGACGGCAAAAACACAGAAGTACCAAAAACTTGAAATAAATTATAACATTTTACAAAACTGTATCATACAATTGAAAAGTCACTTTGAACAAAAATATGATTATTCACTCATATTTTCAAAAAACCAGCAACAACTTGGTTTTTAATATCAGCAACAATGTAATTTTACTCAAGAAATCTCCAAACTCTCCCACATTCTAATGATAAGTCTGGGAACATGTGAAACTGATCGTAACCCAGGCAATTCAATACCATTTTTAAAGAAAATATTACTGCTATAAAATTACATTAAAAAATCTGATCATTTTATCATTCGTTTTTAAATAAAATTAAAATGTATTACTACTGCTTGCATTTACTGAATTTCTTTCTTCATTTTTTTAATTGGATAGGAATTGGATTTTGCAACATATGGATGAAATAGAAATAAATTACAGCTCAGGCATAGTTTTACAATCAAGGATGTATGATTTAATTCATACTATTTGATGCAATTTGCAAAAATTAAAAATTTAAAACTAATTATAAATAAGATGAAAATTGTAAACTGGTGTTAAAAATCACATCAACCCTTATAGAAAAGACTATATTTTGAAAATCAGTTTATTTAATTAAGTCATGAAAATCAATACTTAACAAAGCATTAATAAATCATTATACCTAATACACAGAACTCAGCCAAGAATACATTCATAAGAAATATTTCATATCCTATATTTTTATCACTTGAGGGCAAAAGGAACACAAGCTAATATGACTTTAAAAAAACAAAATATAATTAAACTCTTATAAATTTCAAACATATATAAAAATCAAACAAGTATAACAAACAACTAATTATTAAATCAAATTTACAATAAATAAGTAAAAAGTAAGTAAATAAATAATGTTAAACTTTTTTCAAAAATGTAATTGACTTAATTAATACTCCAAAACTTAATATAATTTATATAGGCTAGAAAATAAATAAAAAAAAATATAAAAAATAAATCATCTGAAACAAAATAAAATTTAAGCATTGACAGTAATTTTATCTCAGAGTTAATAGTCAGTCTGCATACAACATTAATAAATATATTTTTAATTCTGACTCTTTAAATTTGTGGCATATATATAAAAAATGTTTGAGTAGGCCTAAAATCAGAGGTCTAAAAATTAAAATCAAATGTTTAAAAAAGAGAGGAAGGAGATCATACAAAAATTTAAACAAACTGACTGTGACTGCAAAACTAATCAACAATTTTTTTTTTAAATTTTAATAACCATGCTGCAGACTTTTAAATCAGGAAAAATAAATTTTTCTAATCTTAGGAAATCTAAATATATTAAATCAAATGTTTAAAAAAGAGAGGAAGGAGATCATACAAAAATTTAAACAAACTGACTGTGACTGCAAAACTAATCAACAATTTTTTTTAAAATTTTAATAACCATGCTGCAGACTTTTAAATCAGGAAAAATAAATTTTTCTAATCTTAGGAAATCTAAATATATTATCATTAGCAGAAAAGCTTTTGGCACTACTTACATCTATATGTTTAGTAGTGGAGAAGGTTTGCTTGCAAATATTACTTTATAAATAAATTTTTGAAATCAAACACTGTTATGCATGTTAAACAAAATTGAAAATAATTACAAAGTTTTGGTTATGGGATGACACAGACATTGAAATGTGGCTATGATAAATAAATTTTCAATTAAATATATCTAAAATATAAGGAGACTAGTTTGACATATGATACATTAACAGGAGGTAGAGCTTACCATTAGCATCACAACAGAAGGTTAGGAAATTATCACAGGCTAATGTCAAAGCAATCATAATGTCGGTGGGTTTCATAGATACTAAAAAAATATCTTTTTTTCCTGTATATATATATATATATATATTTTGCCTTAGTTACGACAGTCACTATTAGCAGACCTCTCTCAGCACATCACTATGAAATCTATGGCCACAGCCACAGCAACACAAAAATAGTTCTGAAAAAAAGTAGCATCAAAGGGATGCAGATAAATAATTTTAAACACTTAAAAACAGCATTTTTTTTATGAAGTCCTTACATTTTGGAAATGCGTGGACTTCTTTTTTTTCCTACAAAAAATAATACTGGTAAAAATTCCTTTAGTATTAAAAAACTATAGATATGGCAGTTATAAATAAGTTATTAAAATTAAAAACTAACTTCCAACTTTTCACAAACATCAAAAGAAAAATATGTAGAGGAAGCAGCTAATCGCATCATTTTTATAGCTTCCTCTCATAAATCTTCAAAAATGAGTATGATACAAAAATTACAAAGGAACACATTTATGACAAGTGGAGACATTTCATGCCTTCTTTTCCACTTTCATGCTTATTTTGCAGTATTACAAAAAATCAAAGAAATTGTACTTGGAGCCTTTTTTTTTTTTTCCTCACCAACAGCCACATAGGAGAATGGAGGCTGTCAACCTCCGTCAGGAGCGGCTATCCGTCCCTGCTTTCTTCTTTTTGTAGAACACTTCTCTTTCTTTCTCTGCAGTCCAACTCTGAATCGAGTTCAAAAATCTACTAAAATATCAACTCGAGTAAGGGTGCTTCAGCGAAAAAGGGAAGCTATAGGCTGCAGGAAAAGAGTACACATAGCACCGTCCACAAAAATAAAAATTATCCCATCCAATACAGAGAAGTGCTCTAACAAGATCTTTTCAAACTATGCACATGTACATACGCATATTTAGAGAAAACCACTACATGGTCAGAAAAATACAAAATGTGAAACATTATAAATCTTAAGAAAATGTAACATTAATTTACAAAGGTTTATTAAAAGATATATTAATTATTCTGGTGTATTACTCTCTAATACAATAAAATGTTTTAAAAAGCTCTCACTCTCTTTTTTTCCTCTTAACTTTACCACTGGGTTAAAAACATAAGGATAATAAAAAAGGATTATTCAATGGATTTAATAGTCATGGCTAAAAAACAACAAATGCACACACATTAAAACATTCATAAAAACCATACAAACATACTAGCACTGGAGCAAACGTCTAACACGTCAACATACAGTGACACTCGTTGAACGCTTTAGACATGTTGCTATCCATGCACAATAATGTTTCAATAGCATATTTTTTTTGTTAGTCCAAATATTGATGCAAAAAATCCTTCCTAAATTGCAGCTTCAATGGAGCTAGTTCTAGCATAAAGTATCTTAAGGGCCATCTGTAAATGACATGTGTTACAAAAAAGCAATAACTCATTCTTTTAGTTACAAAAGATTCTATAGAAAACTCTAAAATAAAGACCTTTTGACAAAAAATAAGGTCTCAATATTTTAGTTAAATGTCATTTTATTGCACATTGACACTTTCCCAGCATATAAATATACTTTGTACATCTCAGAGACAAAAATAGAATAAAAAATAACAACTCTGTGGTAGCAAGAGAAATATCTACATACATCAACTGTGTAAATACGTTAATATACACTTTAATAAGTCATAATAAATAGATTCCTTCTGACACTGATTTACATCAAAAAATAATTTCAACAACACAAGTATAGGTATTATCCTATATAATCTTATAATAAATAAACACACATATATGTATACCATATCTGAAAATATACATATCTCATTTTTTATCACTTAAACAGACACTCTTTTATAAACATATGCAATTCACAGATGACCCTCTAACATAGAAGGAATGAAAGCTATTCTCTCTGCTTGCAATGGTTTAAAAGTCTTTTGTTTTGTTTCAAATAATTTGCCTAAAAAAATCTGCGCAATATTAATTTGAACATTTAAATGTGGCACACTGCATTGCAATGCAAACATGGATGTCTGATATGACTAATTTTTCAGTACCATTAATTCTTTTCTCTACCATAACTCTCCACTGTAATATGCTGCTGAAAGATGTTTGACAATATATTAAATGCTATATAAGAGTAATGTATGAAACCCATATCAGAATAATGGGTTTAAAACAGTCATTTTCAATAGCAATAAAATTTAGAAGAATAAATTTCTATGCAACATCTAAAAAACTGGAATTTTAACTATTGAAAAATGTTTTCTGAGCAATCTGCATTATCATTATCATTAGTTAAAATAGTTACTTAAAGCTCAAATATCATACAGTGATACTTTGGAAGTAAAAGCACACCTAATTCAAAACTATTCATCTACTTATCTATTATTAAATTTCAAGTTCAATACTAAAAATCTGAAATTTATCCTATGAAAAAGTATACCCAACTGGGATGAAAGCAAATTTTACACCTGCCTTCATAAAGATTCTATCTATAAAATATTTTCTAACACTTCACACTTACAAGTTATGTAAAATTAATTAAAAGTCAGAGATCTTTGAATAACAGTTATGAATCAAATACATTACTGTATTGCAGAATGTAAAAATTAATGAAATGGTAAATTTTGGTACTAAAAATAACAAATGAATTTTCATTAAAAATTATTTACAGGAATATGTGTCAATTAATATAAGTGTAGCAATATTACATCGCTGATGCTTTCAGATTTTCTGATAAAATATTTATAATTTGCATACATAATGCAGTCTAGGAAAGAAGTACAGTTACATTTTAGATTCAGAAGTAATTTGAAATATAATTTAATAGAGAAGAGTATATATATATTAAATATATATTTATATATATATATATATATAATTATTTACATTCTATTTTAAAAATAATAAATACTAGCACTCTTAAAGAATACTAGAAAATCCATATTAATTTCAAAATTTTGAATAAGCATACTTTTATTTCTCGCTCAAAGTTTTAAATATCTTTAACAATAAAATTGAAAAATATTTGCCAAGTGTTTTTGACTAGATATCCACTCAAGCAACATTTTGAATCTGATTGTCCCTAACCCATATAAAAACCGATGAGGGATAACACTGACACAAAAATTTGCTTTGGTTTATAATATATACAGCAAGGATTATATTAAAAATACACTATGACTTTAATACCTGTGCTATACAAAAGCAAAAATTTTCCACGCTGAATAAAGACATCATGAGAAAAAAATAAATTACTTCTATCATATATCTATATTTAAATAAATGAACTTTTTTAATTCATCAAGATTTATGCAATATCATGAACTATAATGCTACAAATCACAAATCACAGCTTAACATTGAATTGCACAACAGTTTACACCACTTAGTAATGTAAAACAGCTAACGGCGACTGAAATATTTTGGCATACTGCTGGGGAAAGTATTGAGGTACAATTAACTTGATGGATATTATGAACTAGGTATTCTATTAAAGTTTACGTCTAAACCAAGGTAAGAGCAAACAGTTTTAACTACAATTTAATATTATAGTTAATAATAATATTATGGGACTGTGGTTTGAAGGTAAAACATATGAAAGTGCTTATTGGAATTAAATTTTACTTTAAAATTTTGAATTTTAATCTTTATGACTTGTCAGTGCATTCCACTGTATACTAGAGACTAGAAAACTGCATATAATATATAAAACATATATATAAAAAGAGAAAGCTTTCTACAAATATAACAAAATCAAAAATACTATAAAAACGTCTTGCAAGTAATTACAACACTGCATATTTACTAAAATACACAGTAAGGAGTCTAACAACAACAACAGTAATTTATAAAAATCCACATATTAAACACTGTACTGAATAGTAGTTAAATACGATTCATTTTCTTGACACCTTCATGTACAATTAGTCATCATACTATACATGCTCATTCTTTCAATATGTACACACCAAAACACACATCTAAAAAATACTTTTAAGTATACAGTGGAATGCAAATTTTTCTCTGCCATAGTACAGCAGTATACATTAAATATTTAGAGCTTTGATGTTCTTTGGTAAAGCATAAAGCAATTTTTTGCTGCACTGCTACATACATATACATCACATTAAAATAAATATATTTTCTAAATAATGGCTATATTATCTTTATAAAAGACTTGAAAGACTACTAGTTTTGCTGCCAACACCCGTATCCCAATTAAAACATATTCAGCAGAATCTGTTTAAATAGATAATTATAAGGAAATAAAACAATAAATAAGATTTTTTTAAAGTTGATTTCTGTATAAAATGCAATGCTTTGCCCGGGAAAAGGAATTTGGCATCATAAAATTGCATCAATGAATAAAAATTAGGTTCAGAAAAATGATACCTCTGTCACTATTAAACATACAGTTTAAAAAACGTATCTAAAAGGTAAGGCTTTAATTATTGCTCAGATAGGATGAGAAATCTGGATTTAGAAACTAGTGCTATATATAAACGGGACTAGCTAAATGGTAATCAGATCCAAATTTCTAAGGCAGCTATTTGGAAAAAGGGGGAAAATATTTAAATATAACTATATAAAGTGAATTACTCCTAAAGAATACACTGGCCAAATATCTTTGATGGCATGCAGCACCACTGCAGCATCAAAATAATTATGTTCCAATAATGTAAACATGTAGGAAAAATTCCATCTGGAAACAGTCTAATACCAAGCTGTCAAGAATACTTTTGAAATCGACACTAGCTAAAAATAATTACAAAAATTATTTAGCTGTTAAAGAAGCGACACAGAATGCAGAAGTGAATTAACACCACCGGAAAGGTACTGCCCGAGGGCGGTCTGCGCCTTCCTTGACCAGAGGTTTATGGAATTCACGTCCAGGACGTGAATGTATGGCAGCCCAGCAATGTTCACAGTAGTACTGCAAGCAGGTGACATTGGCGCAAAAAAAAGGGGCAAATTTGCCTCCACAACGGGAACCTTGACATTCATCACACATCTGATCATCCAAAACATATGGCTTTACTTCCACCTATAACAAATGAAAGTATGTTTTTTGTACAAAGGCAACAATTTACTTCCACATGTAAAATCAAAATATATTATTTGAAATACTAAAGGCTGGAATTATTTTTTGTTTTCATTGTGTGATCACTAAAGCAACAGTATAATGTTTAAGTCTATAACATAAAAAGAAATGGTAAGTATTTATTTTTAAATATCATTTAGTTGCAATATATAAACAAAAAGCAGAACTGTAGCACTTCTAATATATAATCTAGTTATTTCACATCTATAAATTCTAGACCCAAAACATTATTATAGTTCAAACAGAAGAGTTTTCTGGACATGAAATTTTAGAAGATTCTTATCAAGAAAAATTAAAAATAATGAAATAAAAAATTACAGCACAGATATTATTTTCAACAGAATAATTTTACAGACCTATTATATTTTATTATAGTGTATGACGATAGTTTCACAGAATACAGAGTTTTCCATTTCAGTTACTTTCATGAAAGAGAAGACATGCATATGTAGAATACAAACAGAAATTCAAGATTAAAGAGTTATCAGACACACCCCTTTTTCGAATGCCACTTATTATTCCATTTAAAGCAATGGCTCTTAGAAATAGAGAAACTATAATTTTTTGCTACCACTACTAATATGAATGAGCAAACCATTCATAACAAATACAGTAAAGTCATTAAAACAAATAACAGTTTTTGGTGCTACCTTTTATAGAAGCTGAAATTAAAGTTTAAAAAAAAATGTAAGGTTTCCTTTAGTTCACTAACTAGTTATTTTAATTTTGGTACCTTTGCTGAATTCTCTATTCCCTCTCGCATTTCCTCACTAGGATGCAAATTAAGTGAGTGATAGAGAGTGTTTAAATGGGTGAAACAAATAGTTTAGACAGAGTGTGATTTCTCTAGTATAGTGCACATTTGCTATTTTTGTCCTCCAGCTGTTAACTTAGTAATGGCTACATATTCTGACTGTTTAGTTAGTCTATCACCGGTGTAGGTTGCTGAGTCAGCCTGTTAGGTTAAATTAAAATGTGAAGTCTAGCACTACTTTATATCTTTCGAATGCATCATTAAATTCACCTTAAGTTCACACTGCAAGTAGTCGGTGTTTTTGTGAACATGAAGTCCATGCCTTTCTGTTACAGAGCTGTAATAAATAAAAGGGCTATTTACACCCTTTCCCTCCAGTATTAATTTCTACACCTGTGCAAGAAGTCATTAGGTCACACTCTAAGATCTAGACACTTTGTATAATGGGGGGGGGGAGCTAGACCTTATAAAATAATAAAAACATGAACAATGAAGTACTTAAATAAAACAAAGAAAAACAGCATATATTTTAATAAAACTCCAACTTTTTCTCATTTTAGACAATTAATTACATCAGACTCGTATAAAAAGTTGCATCTGAAAAAAAATTCAATGCGATTTTGCAATAAATCTCTGGTTGTTATTTTTTGTAGCAACAAAAATTTTAATTTTCTTCATCTTAAGATCTGCAGGGATTTTAAATAAAAATCAGCTGCTTAAATGGGTATAATTATTAAAATGGGAAAAACAATTTAGGGCCTCGAATAATAAACATAATCCATCCCATGATGACATTTATAATATGAATTACTCATTATGCGAAATGATGTTTACCATGTTAAGTTACTAGGAAAATAATTTTAATCCATTTTCGAGCCCGAGCCCCAACCAAAAAATTTCAGAGAATATTAAAACACCACTAATGTTGGAAATGCTAGGAATTTACTAATTTATTAGTTATCAAAAATACTTACATCCTTTATCTATATAAACAGTCTCACAACTTTTTTCTATACAGTTTGGCATTGGTCTTTGAAGTCTTTTACTGGAGATGAAGGACTCGCTTGTAATTGACTTTTTTGGGGGGCTTCTCTTCTTTTTTACTATGGTTTAAAGTAGCACATGGCATTGTCAATTAACAGATCAGTCAATCTGTTTATCTTAGCTTATGTGAGGTGCCACTGCTTGGTTGTAGCCTGAATCTCTTTCCCTTTCTTCAGAAGGCACTCGATGATGGTTACAGCCGAATACATCGCGGAGAAAACAACGCAAGGTGAAAACGTAATGGAGAAAATAAAGCAAAGAGAAATCATTGCAGTACTAAAACGACATCGTGGTACAAAATATCATCGTCGAAAATAAAATGGTTAAAAAATTTCGCAGTTTAAAAACATCGTTGTCGAAAATATCGTGGTAAAAAATAAAGTACCCACAAAATCATCGCATGATGATAGCATCACAGACATGTGTTTTTCAGCTGTAATAATTGTAAATGGATCTTCGCATAATGATTTGTGAGTGCAAGATGGAAAGAAAGATAATTTTTACTTTCATATATTAAATAATAAATTTTTTAAAGACAGAACAAGAAATCTAAACAAAACAAGAAATAGTTTTCACTATAGCATCTGATTAAAAAAGTGAAGAAAATAATCTCATAATTAGCTTAGGAAATTTTTATAGGTAAAATCATGCAGTTGCTTTTATCTTCATTTTTCTATTCTTTTTAGATATACTTTTCATGAAATATTACCAGCAAAACTTTATAAAAAATAATTTATTAATGACTTTTGTTATTTAATTATGTCAGTTTAAAATTCTATTAAGTGCTATAAGTTGCATTAATTTTCTATGCTTAAGTTTCCATTTTACATTTTCAACAAATATTTATTAGCTAATAAAAAAATAATCCTTCTTTCCATCTCGCGCTCACAAATCATTATGAGAGTATCCTTTTACAATTATTAAAGCCTGAAAAACGCACATTTGCAATGTTATCATGATGCGATTATTTGTAGGTACTTTATTTTTACCACAATATTTTCAACGACAATGTTTTTAAAGTGCAAAGTTTTTTAACCGCTTTATTTTCGAGGACGATATTTTGTACCACGATGTTTTAGAACTGCGATATTTTCTCTTTACTTTATTTTCTTCGACCATGTTTTGTTCCACGACGTTTATGCCTTATGTTGTTTTCTCCACTACGTTTTCATCCGCAATGTTTTTGCCGCGATATTTTTGGCAGACACCCTCGATGATTGCAGAGGAACTTTTGCATTCTTCTTGTACTCGCAGAAAGAAACTTCCCTCTGGGCTTTTTTACATTTCTGCTCAAGAAGAGCTTGCAGTTCTTTAGTGGCAATACAACATTAAGAAATTTGTTTACTCCTCTGCTTGTTGTCTTTGCTTATGTATTCTTTGCATTTATCCATTTCCAAAACAGAAAATAAAATGGATTTAGCTTCACAATCAATATGTAATGATATTTGTGACTGGTTTAATAATGTGGGACATTTTTCAATCCATTTGTACTTTGTTTTGTGGGATGCTTCATTTTGTATGGCCCACTGTATTTTTTACCACTTTAAAGCACATATTTTAAAAGATGTCTGTGAAGGCAAATTTTGAGCCAAACTACATTTTGCATTTGCAGTTCATAAGTCTCACAAATTTTTAAAGTAGTTAAATGGTGAGTATTTAAAATACGCACTATAACCCAAAGAAGAAACACATTCATTATAAATTCACAAATATTATTGATTACATACGTCCCATCGTCCTTCATCGTCGGATATATGGGAAGTGAATGATTGTATTTGTTCCTCTGTAGGGTAGGGTTTATTTTTTATCAATCATGGTTCCTTCAATTAACACATAGATGACACATTTTATTTTTTGTTCAGTAATAAACTTTAATAAGAAATAAACTCCTCTTGATTAGATAATAACATAGGTTACCATCATTTGGGATATAAGTTCAGCTGTGTCCCCGCCGGACAAGAAAACAATCCCTGCATAAAAGAAGAATGGCGACGATCCTCCAGCTAAGAATCTGACATCCAGGAAGAAAAGTCCCCTATGCGTTCCTATTAGTACAACATATGCTCTGTACCATATGAGCCTATAAGCTATTTATCTGTTCTGCATCATGTATATTCATTAGTATCATATCTGTCCTGCATCAAATGATTTTAATCATACTAACCTGCTCAGTGGCATGTGGCCTTTTTTCAGTTTTTTTTTCATTGTTTCTAATCCTATCATATCTGATCTGCATCATACATACGTGTTCATTAGAACTTAACCTGCACTGCATAATGTATTTTCATGTATTTTCTATTAAGTTATATATCTACCCTATCTGCCCTTTTTAATTAGCTTATATATTTGCTCTGCATATTTTCATGTGTATATATCAGCATCATACCTGCTCTGCATAAAGTACCCTAATATTTATTTGTATCATATGCTCCTATTTGTATTATATCTGCTTTGCATCATGAGTTTCTATTAGTATAACATATGCCCTGTACCATGTGTATCATATTCATGCTTGCATCATGTGTTTCTCATTAGTATTATCTATGTCCTGCATCATGTGCTTTTAAATAGCATCATCTCTGCCCAAAGTCATGTGTTTTTATCAGTATTATAGTTGTCCTGAATCATGTCTTTTATTTAGCTCTATATTTGCTCTGCATAATGTGTATATACTATTAACATATTTGCTCTGCATCATGTACTCCTATCGTGTTAGCCTAGGTTCATGCACTATGAATTGTCTCCCCATAAGTATTATTACTCATATACTACCATCTGTTTCATATGTAAACCAAAAGTTCATTGCTAATAATTATTTGCAACTTATGTTATTATCTGTCTTAAAACTGCCCTGCATCATGTGTTTTAATTAGTATACGCGCATGCTTTATATCTGGCAATGTTACACGCATGCTTTATATCTGGCATGCACCATGTGTTTTCACTAGTATCGCAGCTTTATCTCTGCTCTGCATCCTGTGATCTTACCAGTTTTTACACGTTTTTGTGTACTGTTCTGCACATGTTTTCATTATATCATACGTTCCACATAGTACATAGTACATCTGCCGATGGGCAGATGTGATACATTATATGTGGAAGCGTGTAATAATACTGGTAATATGTTTTAACAGCACCATATGAATGTTTATTATATAATCATATGAATATTATATGTTTTAACAGCATCACATGAATGCATTATTAGTACTATACTTAGTAGCTGTACTATCTTCTGTGTGTCTTAGTGTTTTTAGTGTACTGTGATCGTATGTTCTGTGTATTTTTCAGTGTATTCAATGTTGTTATGTGTATTATGTCTTACATTATTATGCCACCTCCACCCCCCTTTTTTTTTAGATTTCCTGTAACCACTGTAATCCTAAAACTTTCAAATGTCATACACATCACTTGTAATGTAGACTATGTCAACCGCCCTTGTATGGCCATGTAACTTTCTCATTAAGATTCAAATATACTCCCGAGGCAGCCTGATGAGGCTCCAGGGAGTTGCTGCCACTAGATAGTGGAGGACGCGGGGCATATGCCTGTTTACCTATGTTAAACATCAGGCGCCCTCGTCCTTCGTCACCTGTCCTCACTGTCTCTTTCGTTCTCTTTCATCCCCCCTTTTTTTTATTGCTTCCAACAAACCAGCCGGCGATTGGCAGTAATTAGTCCCATTTCTCTCGCCAGGCTTTTTCCTTCTTCCCCTTGTCGGACCATGGGCATTACAACTACACAATGATTTTTAATATAATACTACTTAGTGACTGTCATTATACTAAAAATTTAATACAAAATATCAATGAAACAGGAATTGTGGTTGATTATATTCATTCCTTGTTATATTTACATTGGCTTTCTAAAAATTATACATTACTCACTTGATAAATGAAAATAAAATATAAAAGCACTTTTTTATTACAGAAAACATAAAAGTAAAATTTACATGAGCGATAAAAAATTAACACAAATGAACAAATCTTTATATAAAAAGGTACTGGTTTTAAATCACAAATTAAATAATAAAAAGGGAAAAGTTATTTTTTTTATAAAAAGAAGACTTCACATACTCTTTTTTCAATGTCCCCATGCTGCAGCTGGACAAACCTTGCACTAATTGCTGCAATGTAACTCTGTTGATTTGAAAATGCCACACGTCCAGCGCCCTTAGGGTATTTCAGTTCAGGATCAGTATCAATGCCAGCATAACAAACACCCCCATACAGACGATCCATTATCATAGCTAATTCAACTACAGAAACAAAAATTCAACATATATTAATGTGTGAGAGGGAAAAATCAAATTTTAAATTAATAGGTACAGAAATTAACTCAGCATTGAATACTAATTACACACTGAAAAGTATGAGCTAAGTTTAAACTTCATTAATGTAGAAATATCACACTTGTTAAAATGTCAACATATATTTTAAGCATATGTAAAGAGACTACAAAAGTAGAAACGTTTTGAAAATCAGGGTATAAAATTGCTGTTTTCATTAATTAGACTAACTGGTTCAGGGGTTAATTAGTTGAAAATACATTATGCAAAAGGTAAAGTTTGCATATATGGATTAAATCCAGTCAAATGTAAAAGCTTTCAAATACTTCCAAAATCTTTGATAAATTAGTTCCCATTTCTTATACTTTTTTATTAAATCTAACTTGAGAAAAAATACATTTTTATGTACTAGAATTGCTTTTAATTGAAATCTCAATTTCAATTATTTTAATACTTTAAGGTATGCATCCCACACATTTAATTTTTTTAAAAAAACTTATAATTTGATTTAGAAGTTTTAGATTTTTATCAGATGCTTCAACTTTCTCAAAATAAAATAGTGTCAGACATATTATTTCCATGCAAATATGTTATTTATGCTTTGTTTACACAATCAAATGTTTGCTTTATTGATTACATAAATATAATTATATAAAATATACTTTGTTGTAAGTTCATTTATAATTTCAATTATAATACAGAAATTTCTTTATATTATACTTTTAACAGCATGCATTATTATACAGATAATTTCCTAAGCTAAGAAATAAAAGCCATTTTGATATTGAGCTTCAAATTGAAAATAGGTTACAGTAAAACCTTCCTATAGCAAGTCTAATTTATACATACTTAATTTATAGCTATAGTGAATCTACTTAGGTATGAAAATGAGATATAAAAAATTTTATGGATATGAAACTTTAAAAAAATATTTTTCATACTTTTGTCCATAATTTTTGCAATTTCAACTAAATAATAATTAGTAATACATAAAATTATCCATGTGTATGGTGTCTGGATTGATATTCCATCAAAGTGGAATGATCATTCTTTTACTTTCACCTTCATTCTTCTCTGCACTTTGAATAAAAGCTATGCAAATAAAACTGTAGCACCCACCTTTTGGGGAATAAAACACACAATAAGGATACACCACGTCATGAACATAATCATCAAGGTTACACAGGGGCGCATCCATTCACGGGTTGAAGACTTTCTATCACAACCTTTCACGCCTGACCTCAGGCCAACTGAAGTCATGGTTTACATTGATAAAATTAAGCCTGACAAGGCCCCTGGCATAGATTCAATTTCGAATCGCATGATCAAAAACTTCCCCGTAATGTTTATTGTCTGGATTACGGTCCTTATTAACTTAATGCTCAGGAGAAGCTATTTTCCCGACTGTTGGAAAACTGCAGCTGTCGTGCCCATTCCAAAACCGGGACAAAATTTAAACTTACCCGTCAATTACAGACCAATTAGTCTGCTCTCGTCTCTCTCAAAAATCTACGAGTATGTCTTGATTAATTGCCTGAATGAATTCTGTCGAGATCAAAATTTGATCATCCTGGAACAATTCAGCTTCCGACTTAAACACTCCACTGTACACCAGTTATTACGTGTAGTGGAATTCATTCACGAAGGCTTTCGCAAGTGAGAGAAAACTGGTATCGTCTATCTTGATGTAGCCAAAGCCTTTGATAGGGTTTGGCATGACGGACTTATCTACAAGCTCATGCGGCTTGGTTTCTCGGCTCATTTCATTAAAATTATTAACTCGTACTTGACCGGGCGAAGTTTCCGTGTGCGAGTTAACCACGAATTCTCCACTCCCCGCCCAATCTATGCCGGCTATCCACAGGGCAGTCTCGTCGGGCCTTCAGTTTTCAACCTCTACGTAAATGACATTCCTAAGGCCCCTAGTATCGATCTTGCTTTATATGCGGATGATACAGCCATCATCGCACAACATTCCAACACCTTCACGGTAATCTCTACACTACAGAGTTACCTTTCAGCCTTAGAACTCTGGCTCGGTTTGTATAAAATCAAAATGAATGTCGCAAAATGTGCTGCTACTCTGTTCATCCGAAGAAATATCCCCCGTTTAGATAACTTAATTCTCTTCGGTGAACCTATTCCCTAGGTTTCTTCATATAAATATTTTGGTGTATTACTTGATTCAAAATTAACTTGGCAACCTCACATTCAAAAAATCATTGCGAATGCGACGGCTGTCAAATCCAATCTGCGCCCCTTCTTCGCTTTAAATAGCGACCTGTCAATTGACAACAAGATTTTGCTCTACAAGTCTATCATAAGGCCTGTTCTGACTTATGCATGCCCCATTTGGGGCCCATCAGCACTGACTAACAGAAAACATGTCCAAACTTTTCAATCTAAATTGCTTCGGCAAATACTCAAAGCTCCGTGGTATATAAGGAACGAAGAGATTCATAATGATCTCAAAATTATGCCCATTAATCGCTTTATACAGCGACTTTTCGGAAAACTTTTTCAAAAATATTCAATATGTTGCAAATCCTGTGCTGCATATGCTACCTGTATATGATCCTGCAGTCGCCTCGTCTAGGAAGAGACTGAGATCGGTTCTCAACCCGGATTATGCTGCAAACCCATTTAAATGGGCAAGGTATGCTCACACTGACATGCATGTGAATAATTACTTCTTGTTCCTTCCCCTTCCCACCTCTCGAGTCTTGAATACTTAAGTCATTGACCGGAGGAACCCCTCCTGCTTCTTTAAGAAGAAGCTTTACAGTCGCAGGCACCTGAACCTAATTTTTAAATCTAAAGTCAATTGACTATTTCTCTACTTCAAAATAGCTCTTTCAGCCCTTCTAAAAGGGCTTTTACTTGCTTTTAGCACCCCCTTAAGAGGTGTCAATCATTTGGCCTTAAAGACCGCACTGAATAGCGGGCGGAACGAAACTGCTCCCTCCGTCAGCTGACCAACTCACACAGCAACTTTTTCGACGTGTAAGAGTGTCCCCCCGTCCTTTCCCCTCCGCGAAGTTGACGTTCGCAAAGAAAGATCAAGTATCAAGGAAACACCTGCTTTTATTTTCTAGTCTTTAGCAAAAACTTTGTCAAAGATGACTGCCCCTATCTAATTTATTCTGGCTCTTATTTTGGCACAAAATTAGACCTTCTGAGTTTTTATATTTGTTTTCAGTGTGAAGGCACTTATTCTTAAAAGCTTTTTTCGGCTTAACAAAATTTTTACCGTATTAGAAAATTCCCTCTTTTGATGATGACATTTTATTCTTCAGATGATGTGGAGGTAAAGGCATTTATGCCTAAGAACTCTGTAACACGAACTTCCTTGATCCTTGATAATCATCAATCCAAAGAACTCTGATTGGTTTTTAAATCCTATGCTTCTTATGAGCTTGCAGCTATATGGGTGATTTGTCCTTTGGGAAATTGAATCTTTTGATCTTTATCAGGTTTTTTTTTTTTTTTTTTTTTGTTTGTTTCAGAATCTAAAAGGCTCTCCAAGTTCTGCCTTCTGAATAGCGAGTTTAGGTCTTTTGCAAAATTTAAGATATTTTTTATAGAGGCATTGCACTTTTACTTTCAACTATACATATTTTATAGGAAATGAATGCTCACTGGACACGGCAAAATAGTTATGAAACTATCTTCCTTTTTTTTTACAGACATAATAATATTACAGACATAATACTTTTTTTTTACCCTTTATGGATAGAATATTGTCACTATAAACGATTTTGGCTTTCCACAACAAGGACAGAAAATGGCTCAGATCTAATTATTGGTTTATTTGAATTGGTAGATTCAAAGACAACCAAATCAAATAAACCAGAGTGCTAACTAGAGCTAAGACATCCTCTTAGCTCTAGACTTGTCTCAGCCATTATTTGTGAAGATACATCTATAAATTTTTCAAACTCACTTTTGGCTTCATTGACGGAACACAGTTTTTTAACATAGAAAAATCTTTTCAGCTTTTATGAAATACACAGAGTCATAACTAGGGTTTTCAGCGCCTAGGGACAACTGAGATTTCACGCCCCCCACTGCTTGCCAAGGATGGAAAACATTTAATTCTAAAATGTCGTAACATCAGTTTGGCGCCCCTTGGATTCTATGCCCGGGAACAGATGCCCCCTCTAGCTATGTCCCTGGAAATACATCTAACTTCAGGGGTTGTCTTTTCCAAGTGGTGTTAAATAATTGTGCCCAAGGTAAAAGGATTACAGGTCAACTCCTTTTATGAACTAAAATGTACAAAAGGTATACACATAAATACTTTTATACACTGAAAACTACTTTTATGTGTCTAAAAACTTTTCTCTCTCTGTGTTTGAGATCTTTTCTACCAGAAAAAATAGAAGACAGGGATATGTACAAACACCCTTTTTATATCTGCAATCACACCTACTATCTAATGAGATTTCTTTATATGTCATTAGAATTGAATGCATTAATTCCACAGTGATGGGTCCTTTCTCAAAGTAATCGTCGACAGGGACAGGTCACCACACAGTGAGCAGTTGCACCGCCAATAGTAATCATTGACAGTTGGAAAAACTTTCTGCTTACTGGTAGTGTCAAAAAAAGGTTTAATCTTTGTTGTAGAACTACTTTTGAAATTCCTTTAAGAAGGCAAATAACATGACGGCTTGATAACCACATTTCCTCAGACGGAACCTCTTCAATAATATTTCCTTGTGACCATTCAACAAAAACGGGTTGTAGTCTTCATATTTACTTCCAATAATCAATTTTGAAGGTGTTCTCTCTAATCTCTTTTCAGTTAAAACTTTGTTGCCTGGAAAATTTTTCACCTCTTTCTAAAGAACTAATTTCAGGCTTCGTCAGTTTTCACAGTCTTTTTAAACTGATCCCTTATTGCATCTTCAATGCAATTCCTGTTTTGCTGTTCAGACAGGTCATTGATACCAATAGCTTCTAAAATC